TATTTATTCAACTGATGAAATCATAAGAACAAATATGGTAAGCATTTTTCTCTCATCATTATCATTGTTATGGATATGGAAATTTTAATGTGTGTGTGCGTCGAGAGAGAGAAATGATTAAAAAAAAGATGTAAAAACAGAATCGTATGGAATAAATTTTCTTCATTCCCTCGTCTGTATAATGTATTATTATCATTATATAAGCACTTGAATTGGTTGTTGTACAGTTTTTAGTTGTATATAAAGAAAAGACAAAAAAAAAAATACTAGAATAATGGAAATTAATTGGAAATTGGATTGGATTTTTTTTCGTCTTCTTCTTCTTCTTTTGCTCATTCTACCATTTTGGAAATGGATTCGAAATGAAATGAAAAAAAAACGAAGCTAATCAAGAATTTGTTTCAACAACAATATGTGTTGTTTTGTGTGTGTGTGCGTATGAAAATGAATGATAATTTTTCTTTTCTTCATCATCATCATCATCATTTATATATATATATAGTTTAAACGAGAATCGCGTTTTTGCGATTCGATAACGACCAAACATTATGATGAGAATCGATTATTCAACAATGAACGATGAACAATTTCGTTATAAAGATAGAGAAAAAAAACATTTCACCAATTCCATCAATGAGAATTTTCATCTTTATGTGATTTATAATAATTATTACCACCAAAAAAAATGAAGGCTCATTTTACACAATTGTTTAGCATCTTGTTAATCGATCGAATTTACTTTTTTTTCCCCAACAATAACAACAACAACAACAAATGGACAGTATATCGATCAAAGAGATAAAAAAACCTTTGTTCAAAATCGTACAACAACAACAAAACACACACACACAAATGAATTGTGTAGAATTTTTGATCGATCAGTTATAGACATAATTGATTTTCAGTAAAGATGTGTTTGAATGTGAACAACAACAACAACAACAACAAAAATAAATCAAATGATGATGATCAATTTGAGTAGTAATTCATTATTTTTCTTTCCATTTCAACATGAAACATGTTGAATATGGCAAAAAAACAAAACAAAATCAGGACCTTTCGCAAATAATCTAATGAGTTGAATAATTTAATTTAATCACAATTGAATAATCTAAACTGAAATGTTCAATGATCTATGAAAAAAAAGACTTATCAGCATTAAATAAATTACTACAATTGAATGAATGTATCGATTGAAACAATAAAAAAGAAGAAAAAAAATCGATAATAGAAAGCAAATCCTCTTGTAGAGAACTATAACTACAGCTATAAAAAAAGGAAACAAGCTAACAAACCGAAAATAGGATTTTCGATTGCAAAAAAAAAAAAAGAAAAGAAATCCGAGATCTACTTTCCATTACTTATTACTCAAGATCAAGAGAACTAGAAACTGGAAACAAAAAAAACAACAACAACAACAACAGCAATCGGTTATTCACTAGAATTCATTTGAAACATGACAACAACAGAGTAGTTGTCGTAAAAATGAGGATCAATCGAGCTTGATATCATCATCATCATCATCATTCATTCATGTAATTTAATGGGAACCATTGTTTCTGTTCGGAATGTGATGATCCATCTCAATACAAGTGCAGATGCGCCGGATGTTGTTTTTAATCGCCATAATTTTATTGTCATTTTCTGCAATGAATCGTTGCACTTGAAAAAAAATTTATATCATCAAACGACAAAAACAAAGCAATCAAAAAAAAAAAATTCACTAATAATTACCAGTCTTATCATTTTTCTTGTTCAATTGGCTTGTTCTCATGACATGAAAAAATGTTTGTTGTTGTTGTTGTTGTCGTCGTCGTATATTTACCAGAAACAAACAAACAAACAAAAAAAATGATCTTTTAAACATTATCGAACAAATCAGAGCGAGAGAATATCATTCACACAAGAGGAAAATACCTGAAAAAAAAATATTTTTTTGCAATTCTTCAGGGGAAACTTTTGAACGTAAACAAGAAGAAGAAAAAAAAAAAATACCAACAGATAGCCTGATAATGAGATGTTGAAAAAAAATTGATGTCGAACATGTAAAAACAAATCATTTGAAGAAATAATAATGACCAAACAGGTCAGTATAAAGAACGTAATAATAATAATAATAATAAATGATACCGTAAAAATAAATGAAATGGAAAAAATGACATTATAACAAGAATGAAGAAGAAAAACTTGCCATTCAAAATTCATAATATGTATGGATTCAGTATTGTGTTTTGATGGCTTTACAAATCCTTCATCAAAGATTTGATCCGACACACTTTTTTATGAGTTAGCATATATGAATTTGATTGTTATAACCAACGAAACTTGATGGTTTATGAATGTTCCAGAATGGACAACAACAACAACAACAACAAAAACGGTGATAAAAAAAATGGCAAAACTATACTATATATTATAACAGATTGTTCGATATATTGGCCATAATATTGATAATGATTTTGATAATAATTTTTTTTTTGGCTTCTGATGTGTAACAAAATCTGTTTTCGGAAATAAAAAAAAATCACTGAAATGGACAACAGCAAAAATAATTTTTTTTTTTTTCATACTTTTGTTCAACCAGAGCCACTGAAATGATGAGTTGTTGTTGTTGTTGTTATTGTTGATGTGTGAAAATAATAACCGAGAAAAAAAAACGTAATCTCCATGGAAAACTAAAACATGGTCATTTCAATGTAAAAGAATCGATTATTATCATCGTTAAAAAAAAGAATAAAAAAGAATAGCACCTTGTTTCTCGGTCATAATGGAATGAAATAAACATTTATCAATCATTCATTCATTCATTTTTTTTGGCAATCATAATATCAGCCAAATCTATATCAACTTTATCAATGATGATGATGATGATGATGCAAACATTTTTCATTTCCGAATCTTTTTATTTTTATCATGCTTCCGCATTTTCGCATTTCGACATAAGTTGTAAATCGTGTGGTGTTCAAAAATCAAAAATAAGATGAGAATTCTCCAATGATTTTTATTTTTTTTTTTTTTTTTTTTTCGTTTTGTTTATAATGGCTATATATGGATTCATAACAGTTTATTTTATTGTCTCTCAGGGATTCATCATGAATGATCAAATGTAAGAAAAAAAAACATGGCTGCAAACAACCAAATATACAATCATTTAGGAATGATGAATCCAGAATAATCAACTTGGAATAATATTCAATGTGAACGGATTCCATGAACTCTTACTTAACTTAATGAACAAACACTATAGTAGACAACAATAAATGTATGCCTGCTGGTGTTGAATTTTCGTTGTTGTTGTTGTTGTTTTTTTTTGTTGTTTGATTGACCTTATGACTTGAATGAAAACTTTATTTGTACGTGTGTGTTTTAAATGCTTCGAAAAAGTTTAAGTAATTTTTATTTTGTCTGAGAGAAACAACCAAATTGATCCATATATATAAATTATTATTATCATCATCTTCAAATACAGTTTATTAGTTAGTTTTTTGTTAAGAAGTTTTACTACTTCTTCTTTATTTTGGGCTAGAATAAATGATGGCCATTGGTGGTGCCATTCACAACCACCATCTGACAGGAATAAAACTTTTTTTTTCTTCATTTTCGCTACGTAAAGTGATTGTCGATCATACAGGGGAATAGGAAAGAACTGTGTGTGTGTGTGTGTGCGAGAAATCAGACCAAAACAGAGTGAAGAAATAAAACAGAATAAAATGACTTGACAGGCATTTTTGGGTTGTCAGTAAATGTGTGTGTGTGTGTGTGTGTGTGTGGAAGAAAAAAAAATTTTGAAGCATAACGAATGAAATCCATGACAGAAAGAAGTTAAAAGAAACTTGATTTTAAGAAAAAAAAATTGAAACAACACCATTGCAACCGTTTGTTGATGAATGGGGTGTTATTATAAAAAAAAAGTCGACGTAAAAAAAAAAAAAAAAACATTCAATTGAATTTTTCTATCAAAAACATTCACGTACAAAAAAATGCTTGGATGCTTGATAGGAAGCGAAAACGAAAGCGAAAAAAAAATTCTCGTGTTGATGTGTTTGTTTCATCATATTTGAAGTGAAAAAAAAACAATTTTCACGATTGAAAATATTAAGTTTAGAGTGTTTTTTTTTCTCTCTCTCTCTCTCATCAAAAACATTGTGGCTTGGTGATGATAAATGGTGGTGGTGGTGGTGGTGCTGGTGTGTTCATTTCAATCGTTGGCTGTCATGTGATAATTACTCATGATTAAAAGAGAAAAAAAAAACAACCAGATAATCAGGTAGTGAATCAGGAAATTCTAGTCTAGAGAATTCGTGTTGAAACCAAAAAAAAAAAATCCCATAATTAATTCACTGAATCAACGAAAAGAAAAGAATTTGTTTCTCAGGTAAAATTTATGAACATAATTTTTCAAATCTAAATTTTACAAAGAAAAAACAATAAAAAATAGAAATGAAAACAAGAAAAACAATGAAAAGTTAAATGTCAAAAAAAACTATGAATTCTTAACCTAAATAAAAAGAAGAATGTCGTTAAAATTAATCGATTCTAACGGGACTACAACACACAACCATCATCATCATCATCATCATCATCATCATCAAAATTCTGTTTGACAATTATGACACCAAAAACATTTTGATGATGATGATGATGATGAAAAATGGGAATAATTTGTCAAAAAAAAAAAAAAAATTTTCAACAAAAAATTAAAAATGATTCGCATTAGATTAATCTTTTTTGTTTTGTTTTGTTTTCTATTTCATTTATATTTGATAAACATCAAATGATCTGGATCAAATTTTGTTATTGATTGTTCAATGAAAAGATTAATGATCATAATTGATGATATGACATAATTTGTGCAACAACAACAACAACAACAACAACAACAACAACAACAACAACAACCATAACAACCATAACAACAACAACAATGAAATAGAAGCCTGAAAAAATATATCAATTTTTTTTTTACTTTCCTAAAATAAAGTTAATGAAATACAAACAAACAACAATAATGTCGACAAAAACGATAACGATAATAATGAAAAAAAATTAGCGAGTGATAGTACTATTCGTTCAATAACATCATCATCACAAGCATCATCATCATCATCATCATCATCATCATCATCAACAATAAATTCAATAATAATGTCGACAAGTGTGCCAAAAAATTTTAATATTCCATCACATCATCATCATTCATCAATTGAACAGCATCGAAGTTATTCAATTTGTGAAATGTCTTCACAAATAACACCATCGGCATCAACATCATCATCATCATCATTAACAACATCGGCATTAATTAAATCACCAAAATTTCGTCGTGGAACTACAGCCGGTGCCGTTGGCATTAATTCATCATCATTGACATCAACAATGACAACAAAATCGGCCAATATAATGTTATGTCCAATGATGATGACAGGAAATTATTCATGGACAGAGAATACATTACAATCATCATCATCAACTGGATTACAACAACAACAACCACCACCACCACCGATGACACCTTCACATGATACATTAATACGTATGGATACGCCTAATGATGAGGATAAAATCGATCTAAAACATATTAGTATGGCATTGATGAAATTACTTTATCCAAAGGTAAGATAGTAGTATAGTAGTGTTGTAATAATAATTTATTATTATTAATTCATAAATATAAATCCATTTACAGACAAACAGACAGAAAGTGACAGTGAAAAAATAAATATCTCATGAAACGTAAAATCAAACACACACACACACAAACATGAACACACAAAATAGGAAGAAAAAAAAGTCAAAATCAACAAGAATATCAAATAAAAAGCTGACTCAGACAAACAAAACAAAAAAAAACAGAACTGAACATTCAATTCTACTTTATCATTGTGAGATTGATTGCCCTCCACCAAAAAAAAATTGATTACAGTAGCGAATCATTTTTATTGAGAGAATAAAAGAAAATGAAAAAAAATGTGAAAGCGTTTCAGATTTTCGATCATTCAAGTCAATTGTGGGTCAAAGTGCGAATTGGAACAAAAGACATTTTCATCTTTTTCTTTTTTTTTCTTACACATTGTCATTTTTTTAGTTTCCTAGTATTTTTTTCTGTTCTTTATTCATGTATACACATAAATGACATTCTTTCTGTTGAAAAATGGAACCAAAAAAAAACGGAAATCAAGAAAAATCATTCGGAATCGACCGGAAATGTTGATCCATTTCCCGAATTTTTTTGTTTCTTTATTTTTTTTGGTTCGAAAATTTATAACCCGATTCATATCTTGTCAATGATTATAACGACAAAAACGACGATGAAAAGGGAAAAAAATAATCAATGATTTCGATTTTATTCGTACGCTTTTTTCAATATATATGATTGCCGTAATGTTTGGAATCGAATGGCAATTATTTCAATCATTATCATCATCATCATCATCAACATAATCATCATTATAGAATTTGTCGGTCATTATCAATTATTTTTATTACAATTCTGTTATCTTCATGGCTTAAACAAAAAAGAAAAATGTTAATGGCAAACAAAAAACTAATAATTTCTTAATGAAATACAAATTGAAATGGTTAGATATGATAACAACCGGAATTATAAAGAGAGAGCGACGCATAGAATTATATTCTTTTCTGGTATAGAAAAAATCACGGCAGTTTATCACTGTAATTCTTGATAGAAAAAAAGTTAAAACGAAACCAAAAATAAAAACGAACCCGTTTGGAATGAGAATAAAACACACACACACACAACAAACCAACCCAAGTACAGAATAATTTTACAAACGACAAACAAGGCGACAATGGGACGAAAAAACAAGAATGAACAACAAAAATTATTACGTTTAGATTCTTTATTTATTAATATATGAATGAAATATGTGTCATTCATATGAATGCATATTAGTTTTTTTTTGCATTTCATATTCTTTTCTGGTGTTTTTTTTTATAATAATAAGATCGTGATGTATATCATTGGCCATTCACGGTATACAAATTGCATCATTCTAATTCTATGTATACAGAATCATTTCCATTGGAATTGTACTGGAAATTTTCATATTTTTTTTTTTCTTTGAAAATATTTTCATTAATAACCTATTGATATATTTTGGTTGTTGTTGAATTTTGGTGATCAAAGAAAAAAAATGTATCAAAATGATACTCAAAATCAACAACAACAACAACAACAGTGATTATCGAGAATTGATATGTGAATGCTTGAATTGCAAATTAAGAATAAAGAATAAATTTATCCAAAAAACCAAGTCATTACATTAAATAAAATTACAAAAACAGAAAATTGATCAAAGATAAAAGTGGAGATGGAGAGAGAGAGAAAAAACCCAGATATGAAAACTTTGTGCATTGAATTTGCTTTATTATTTTCGAACCATTTGAAATAGGATAGATACGATTTGTATGTGGATGAATAGATGAAAATTTTCGGCATATTTTCATCATCATCATCATCATCATCATCACCATGATTATGATGATGATCCTCATCAAAAGAATGTACATATAACGCTTTTAAAAGAATTTTGATCGATTGCTCATGTAAAATTAGTGAACGAAAAAAAAAAAGATGAATGTTGGTTATTACATGGAAAAAAAGGAGAATGTAAAATGAATCAAATGATTCTATGATAATGATGATGGCCATGGCTAGAAAAAAAAAAGCGTGAAAGAGTGAGAGAGAATTTGCTTGTCCATCGCATAGAATTTCAATATATAAAAATGGATGGATGGCAGAAAAAAAAATTATCAAATAAATGAGAGAATATATAAGCAAACAAACAAACAGCGAATAAAAATAGAAGAAAAAAATGGATGGCAAGTCATAATGAATGAAAAGGAGAAAAAAATTCTGGAAAATTTTTCCCATGAGATATGATCATCATGTCCGTGAAGTGAATGATGAAGACGAATATTCAATTAACTTGTGTGTGTGTGTGTATGTTTATCTGGGTCCAAGATACACCCATGTTTTTTTCTGATACACTTTCACACTAATTAGGTTTTTTATTCTAATTTTTTTTCTGTTGTTGTTGCTGTTGTTTTTCACAAACAATCAACTGGTATGAGCACTGAAAAAAAAAAAAATTCAATACACTAAACAAACACAAACAGAATGTGTGAATTTTTTATTATTATTATTATTAAAAAACACAACTAAAAATGATATTAATTCGGGCGTGATCCATATGCAGCATATGGATCAAACACACACACACAGAATGAATTAAATATGGGAATTGAGAGTAAACAAGAGTAAATTGCCAGTAATATCAGGCTTTAACATATTTGAAGATAATGTAAAACGAATCATAATGAATGCAAAATGATGACAAAAAGAAGAATTCAACAACAACAACAACAAAAAATGAACAAAAATTCTCATTTAGCAATCAAATACCATACCATGAATATATAAAATGAAAATTTTTTAGAGAAATTGAAATTTGAACAAAATAACTCTAAACAAAAAAAAAAAGTTGAAAAATATTGCATAGCAGAATATTGATGAAAATGATGATGATGATGAACATCAACACAATGAGCAATGATTCGATAAAATTGACAAAATTTTTTAAAGTTTTTCGTTGTTGATCTATTGATGATGATGATGATGATGAAAAAATTCATATTAGGAACAAAAAACACAATAAACACTGAATTACTGAATTTTTTTTTTTTTTTTTTTGACATTGGAATTTCGCCAAAACTTGATCCAGAATTCATATATTGTTGATCAAAAAAAAAAAAAAAAAAAAAGATTTCATTCTTTTGTTGGTGAAAAAATTAATTTATTCGATCTTGAGGTTGACCATAAAAAAAATTTCCAATGTATAGGAAATAATTTTGGTCTATTCATACTATTAGTGCCATCTATTGTTTGTGAATCATATCATTTCAGTATATCGAATATTCATTTTTTTTTTTCTTTTTTTCTTTTAAAAAGGCATACGATATTCTTGAAATTATAAGGAAAAATTTTCAAAATCGAAACAAAGATGTTTGGGAAGATATATGGTAAGTTGTTTCCAATAAATCGATTATAACTGAATCCAAGAGAGAATATAATATCAATGTTTTACTTTGATGTTATTTTTTTTACCTAAAGTAAAAACTTTGCTGCCAAATGTTCAACAACTTCAACAAAGTCCTATCCGTTCAATAAAGATTCATCAAATGGATCAATCCAAAATATTGGTAAAGAAAAATGTCCGAATATAAACAATAATACCGATTGTGGTAATGAAAACGATAAATACGATTGGTTTTTAGACGCAAAACCAGATACAATTACATATGATCATTTGGAAAATTTTACTAAATATTTGGTGAAAAAACTTGGTCTCAATTGGGAAGAGGTAATTGTCGATATGGGTGAAAAATATGCACGACAATGTTTGGCCACCGATTCTAAACCATTGAATTTTATTGGCGAAAATCTAATCGAATTTCTTGTGAATATTGAAAATATACAATCAATTGCATATAAAGAAGTGAGCCATATGACAGATTTTTCTAATCGAGCATGGACACCATCACAACCGGATCTATTGCCAATTACAGTATTTGTTAATAATCCTGAAACAAAAATTGTTGTCACATACAATATAATGGAACCAATATGTCATTTTGTTGCCTGTTTTCTTTCTGGCCTTTATCAACGTGTAGCACGATCATTATTCAATATTGTTATTCGTGTCAATGTTGAAATTGGTTCAGATCAATATAAATTCTTTATAGAAAATCGTCAATCCGGTGCCACATTAGTCAATGATGATTCATTCGTTTCTCGTTATAAATCGTATCTGTTAAATCGGCCGGAACAGTTGCTCATGTATATACAAACATTTAAACGGGTGTTTCCATTTCATTTTGTCTGCGATCAAAATCTTCGATTCATTCAATATGGAACAGGTAATAACCAAATAACCAAAAAATTAAATTAAGTTTTTTACTTTACCCAAAAAAGGCCTAAGCAAAATATTTGGTGCACAAAATAAACATAATGTACATATTTCCAACGTATTCAATATTGTACAGCCTAATGTGGGATTCTTTTTCGAATCGATCAGACATCGAATCAATCTTGCCTTCATTTTACGTATACGTGATAATATTTCGAATGAACATTTTCGTCGTATGGAATTACAAGGACAAATCATTGAATGTGTTGAAACAAAATGCTTATTATTTCTTGGATCACCAATCGTAAAAGGATTACAATCCTTAACTAGCCGTGGCCTTTTTCTATCCGACATTCCTATACATGATGCAACCAGGTAAGTGTAACGTTATATGTTCGGTGAATGGAATGGTAATTTTCTATTTTATCATTCATTTAGAGATATCATTCTAATTGAAGAACAATCAAGAGCACAAGAAAGTCTGAAACGTCGTATGGATAAACTGAAGGATACTATTCAGAAAGCTAATCAAGCTGTAGAAATTGAAAGAAGTAAAAATGTTGCTCTATTGAATTTAATTTTTCCGGCCCAAGTTGCTCGACGATTATGGTTAGGTAAATCGGTTGAAGCACGACACTATGATGATGTCACGATGTTATTTTCGGATATTGTTGGATTTACGGCCATTTGTTCTACTGCTACTCCTATGGCTATTATTAATATGCTTAATGAGCTTTATACACAATTTGATGTTTTCTGTGGTGAAATCGATGTCTATAAGGTGAGTAATGTTTGAACATCAATATAGATTCATTCAGATATTTTTTTTTGTCTTCTATCAGACGGAAACCATCGGAGATGCTTATTGTGTTGCATCGGGTTTACACAGACAAACATCTCATCATGCCGTATTGGCTGCATTTATGGCTTTGAAAATGATGGAAGCAGTAAAAAATTTCACACCTAAAGATATAAATGTGGAAAAATTTCAGATGAGAATTGGTCTTCATAGTGGTTCCTGTTTATCCGGAATTGTTGGAGTTCGAATGCCCAGGTAATTTTCAATTACCATTATTAGCTCAGATTTACAGATTAATTTTTATTTCATTTCATAATCAAGATATTGTCTATTCGGTGCTCATGTAACATTGGCCAATAAATTTGAATCACAAAGTCAAGCCCAACGAATCAATATTAGTCCAACAACTTACAGGTTAGAATCATCTACTTACCATCATCAATTTGTTTTATTATCTCATCTCCATTTTCATATTGTAGATTGTTGCAAAAATTTCCAAAATTTGAATTCACTCTACGCGATCCAAATTGTTTGCCAAAAGAATGTCCAGCCAATCTTGAACGAAAATCAGCATTTGTCGATAGTTATCATCATCCTAAATTAACCGCTAATTTATCACAAACCAAACATATATCAAGAGCTTTGGAAGATATTAATTCAATACATAACGATAACAACCAAAGTGGTGATTAGAAAATGTAGAAAAAATGTTGTTATTCATTTTAACATAAACACACAGGTTATATATTCACAATCAAAGAAAATATTATTTTTTTTTGTTTTGTTTTTTTTTTTTGAGTTTGTTATCATTTTTTCTTACATGAAGAAAAACTTACATATATGCAAAACTTTGAACACCAGGGAATAATTTCACACATATATAAAAATCACACACTACGAATAAATCGAATGAAAAATGGAAATTCGAAAATAAAACAATCCAATCCACCATCGCCATCTTGTGTCGTGAAAACAGATTAATCAAAATCAAAATAATAATAAAAAAACTCGAAATATAAAATCAAAGAAAAATATTTATTAAAATTATTATCATCATTATCATTATCATTATAATGGGTGAAAGGATTGTGACGATTTGAAAAAGAAAAGATAAAAGCAAAAGCAAAAAAAAAAAATTATCAAATTACAAAATTAATCAATCAATATATAATAGAATATATATATCGAATAGACACAATACAAATAATTTTCAAAAGTTGAATCAAAAAATCCAAAAAAAAAAAAATGTAGATTTTAATTGAATTGTGACACAGACAGAAAGAGAGTGAGAGACAGACAGAAAGAGTGAAAAGAAAAGAGCTGAAAAAAAATTTTTTCAAAATAAAAAATTCATCATTCATGTTATTTGTTGTTATTATTGAATAATTAGTAATTATAAGAATAATATAATATATTCAAATGTATAAAATGGTGGTGGTGATGTGAAAAAATTCACTCACAAACGTTACGTTTTTTTTTTTTGTTTTGTAAAAAAAAAATTTGTCATTACAAATATAGTGCAGTAGAAAAAAAATTCAAGTTTTTTAAAAGGTTTTTCGTGTGTAAATGCGTGAATATTACGAAATTTTTTTTTTTTTTTTTTGAATGAAAAGTTTCATTTCATTTCATTTCATTTTTTTTTATCATGCGAAAATCATTGAATTGATTTGTTGTTGTTGTTGTTTTCGTTGTTTTTTACATTTTTTTTTTGTTTGTTTTTTTTTTTTTTTTTTTTTGAATCATATCCAAATATACGACAACGATGATGATTAAATCCAAAAAGACAAGAGAAAAAAAAGAAGCGGTAGAAAGAAAAAACGATGTGTGCATCCACACATATATATCATCATATATCCGTGTATATACACGGATATATGATATTATTGTTTTCAGGTTTTTTTTTTCTCTGTTCAGCCAAAAATATTGGATGTTTTTCCACCTATACCGAGAGATACAAAAAAAAAATTTTTAGTAAATTTATCAATATACAACTGGTGATGGTTTGATTTGGTTGTAGATAATGGATTAGAAAATGCTATTTTCATATTTTCATCATGATCAAAGAATTTGATGATGAAAAATAATCATCTCCATTTTTTTTCTATTTTGGATTATTATTATGATGATTTCATCATGAGCTGATTTTGATTTGTTCATGTCGATTGTTTTGTGATCATCATGCTAAGATCATATCGGATCATATCAGATTGAAGAGAAAATATAATTCTAATAAACCTGATTGATCGATGTATGCATGCATATGTGTGTGTGTATGTGTATGTGTGATTGTATTCAAACTTATTCACTCACCTGGTGGTTGTCGAATACGGACAGGAGTATTAGGCATGGAAGCTGATCCATTCGATCCTTGATATTCAATAGAAAAAAATTGTTTAATGATGATGATCAAACAATCATCATACATACCATTCATGGATCCATTCATATTTACGATAGCATTACCATTACCATTGCTAGTTGAATGCTGTTGTTGTTGTTGTTGTTGTTGCTGTTGTTGTTCTTCCAAAACTTCACCAGTGATCGGATTACGACGAATCACTATATATATATATTTGTATATTTGAAAATAGAATGGAAAAAAATCATAAATAAAATGATAAATCATCAAACAAAAATACAGAATTATAAGATTTTTAGCTGAAAAAAAAATATTTAAAGAATGGAAAAAAAAGGAAATACAATGACCACCAACACATCTAAATATATGATGATCATCATTATTAAATGCAAAAATATTATGGTCATCAACCTCAATAAAACATGTAGAATAAATAAACAAACAAAATCGTTGACCGCACGCAGTAGTCCAAATAATAATAATAATAGCAGTGTTTTGGTTTTTGACTACATTTCAAATATAATTACAATGTCAACTTAATCAATCAAAATAAGGAAAAAAAAAGTTTTTAACGATGAAACTCAGAGTAAAATTTAGAAATGAAAATTGAACCACGAACGAATGATGATAGCCACGAATAAATGAATGCTAATTTACTGACAGTTGAGCTTACATACATTGAAGCCATTAGACTAATGACAACAACAGCGGATGGATACCACATACAAACACGATGAAAATCCCAAAAGAATCCAGTAAACTTCCACCACCCGGAAAAAAAGAAACAGAATAAGGCAAGAATCAAGCTAATAAATATAAATCAGTTGTTATATGCCAAATTTTCCCAAATGAATCCGGTCAGAGTAAAAAAAAAAAAATGATCATATGTAAAACGACCGACGACGCCTTGACATTTGGTCAAAGTGTATACGAGTAGCAGTATCAATAGTCAAAAAAAAAGAGAATCTTCTTTTTCTTCATCATCATCGTATTCTTAGGCTTTTTTTTGGCTCGTTACGTTGGCGTTGTATCTATGTGTTTATTTGTGTGTGTGTATGTCAATGACCTTTGAACTACTCCTTGAGAAGCTTTAACATTAAAAAAAAGTTATGGAACTTTCAAGCATGGATAAATCTTCTTGATGAAATAGAATGGATACTTTATTCTTGAAGAATTATTTTTTTTTTAAATTTTATTTTACACACACACACATATACAATGAATGAATATTTCAAAATCTACATTGATATTGTTATATTTTTAATCTAATTGATGATCATAACTTGATGTGCTATTGCTTTAAATATACAATCGTTGTCGATCATCATCATCGTCTTATTTTGGCTTATGAATTTTTCATAAATTTCGCCTTTTGTTCTTGTTTATTGATGTGTGTGTGTGTGTGTGTGTATATGAGTGTGTGTATTCGTGTGCAAAACGTGCTAATGACACATATGTAAAAGATCCAAGACAAAGATGTTCGTGCCGATTCAAGTGATGATTTTATTATCAAAAGTTTGTTTATAATAATAATCATCATCATCTATTGCTTGCTGTTTATATTAAACTTCATCAATATTGGATGTGTATATTTGATGTGCATAGTATTTTTTTTTTTATTTTTTTTTTTTGGCCCAGTCACCAACACTTAATTTGTATTTGGCATATATTTTTTTCTATTTCTATAGATAAACTTTATCTATTTATGTGTGTATATAGATATGATTGATCGTTAGACCAAAAAAAAAATTTTTTTTTCGCTTGCTTGATAGTTGCCAGGATCGTTGTTGTGATTCATTATTATATTTTGGAGATGAAGATGATCATGATGGTGATGATGGTGATGATGGTGATTTTCTTATGAAATTGTCATCGTTAACATTCGATATTGATGATGATGATAATGATAATGATGATTATTGTGAAATGACAAATTCCAAACAAATAACAATGGCAAAAGAATCTTTTTTTTCTAGCTAAATAGCAGGTTATATAGAGACAGGTCATTATTATCATACATTGAAAGATTTCGATTAAGGTTGCAATATTCTCTAAATTTTCTGGTTATGACACACACACACACACACACACACACACATACACACAGAGACACATAGTGTTTCATGCTATATTTGACACTTTTTTTCATTCTCTTTGACGTAAATGACATGCCATTAAATGGCATGGAAATGATGATGATGATGAAATGGTATCCATTATCCATCCATGTCCGCTTTCGACTATTATATCATCAAATTTCGAAGAATATTTCATCAAAAGTGGAAGCAATAATGATAACGATGGCTAAAATTCGGCTGAATCAAGAAAGCTGATTGAAAAAAAAATCACATAATCATCTATTTTTCTTGTTATGAAATCCACTATTCATTGTTGTTGCAATTTTCTTCGCAATTTTGCTCATCAAAGCAGAATTTTTGTTTTTTCAAGTTCAAAAAAAAAAAGAACAGAATGATGGACAGCAAAAAAAAAAATCTAATCTAAGAATATAAAATAGAAAAGATTAGAATCATGAATGGCAATGATTTACATTTCAAAAGACTTACATGTTTCGTTTGGGATGTATCCACCATGTGATGTGTCAATACAATGATATTTTGAAAACAAAAAATCATTGTCAATTTTCTATTTTCATTATTATTATCTATCATCGTGCACTACTAGCCTGAATACGGTCGCGTTTTTTTTTTTGAACCAGCTGTGTATCCGCAATATTATTTTTTTTATTAGAATTCCATTCACAATATGAATCAAACATATAAATCGAATATATATATAGTGTGCACCGTGCGTACACTTAAATGTCTCACATATTTTTAAAACATTCAACACAGAAATTGAATCACGAAAAAAAAATGTAGGGAAAAAAACGAAAATTGTTGCGGCCAAAAAAACTAATAAATTATAGTGAAATGTGTCCAATTATAGCCCTGCATCATTTTCGGTTAAATTCACACACACACACACACACACACAGAGAGAAGATGAAAAGCACATATAAGAGAATGTATGTAGATATTAGATATCCGTTGAGCTTATGCAAAGAGAGATTAGATCACACACACACACACAGACAGACACAGTAAATGAGCTTCGTAATGATGATTCAAATATTTTTTTCGTTTGTCTCCCTTGGTATATATTAGATACAGATTTCAAGTTCATTCGCCATTCATATTACCATTGGGCCATAATCAACGGTTTTCTGTTCCATTGCCAAAGGCTGAATTTTAGCCATCATTTTTTTTTCTTTTTTTGGATAAATTTTCAACCAAAACCGGACAGAATGTGTCGATGTTGATGATCAAAAAAAAAAAAAAATCTCATTCGGTATTCATAAGACGTCATCCTATTATGTATCAAATGGCTTTTTTTTCCTGAAAAAAAATATTCATTCCCCACCACCACTACATTTCGTCTAAAATCGATTGGATAGTGTCAATCATAATCAAATCACATCATTGATCGAATGAAGGGAAGTGAAAAAAAAGGAAAATTATTTCCATATGAATACATGGAAATAATGATAAAATGGAAACAGACACACTGTATCCACATCTGTGTGTGTGTGTGTGTGCATGTTTGAATAGATTTTTTTTTTTTTGCTCAAATCGTAGATGATTTCTGACATTTAAATCCCGTTATATATTTGTTTATTCAAAATGCAAATATTTGAAGTTATATAAAACGAAATGAAAAAAAATACAATTTTATTTGGCCACCAATATCAAACACACACGCACACACACACACACACGAGAGAGAAGAAACGCTTGAAACTTTCGATCGAAACAAATTGATTTTTTTTTCTGATATCCACAACACACACTTGAATTCTATTAAATTATTTTTCATTTATTCTAAAAATTTTCAATCTCCAATTGAAAGATTGAGAATAAATGATCATTATCACATTATTCAAACAATTGAATTTCAAAATACAAAGTAAACATTATTATATATCACCACGATTGATGATTTTTTTTTGTGTGTGTGTGTGTGTGTGTGTAAAAAAATTAAAATTGATTTTTTTTTCTAGCATTAATGCATTTTCAATGTTTTTTTTTCATCGTTCAAAATGCCATTTTCAATTTATTTATGAAAATTTGTTACAAAAATGATGAGATCAATATCGAGAGATGGTATTCCCTATGCAATGGCCATCTTGCTCTGATTGATGATTAATAATAGATGACTGACTTGATGAATTTGAAATTCAAACAAACAAAAATCAAACACAACCACAATTGACCAACAAACAGAAATATAATCACACATTAGGTCAAATATTTGTTTGTTGTTGGATGTATAGTATTCATAAACTCATCATCATCATCATCATTTTTTTTTTTTTTGAAAAGAAATTAAAATATATCTATCTAAAAACAAGATTTTCGAAAACAAAAGAAGAAGAAGAAAAAAAAGTCGTGTGTGTGTTTTTGTGATTAATATATTCTTTTTCTTTCACAAAACATGACCAACAAACAGATGATGATGATGATGTCGAGGAAGTAATATAGTAATATCAATCCAATGAGTAAATATTTGTATTATATTTGTTTGAGATTTGAATTGATTCTACAAACAAAATTTCGAGGTCGAGACTTTTTTGTTTGTGTCTGTCTGTGTGTGTGTGTGTATGAATGTATTTTTCGATAATCAACACACAATATACTGGACAAGCAAAACGAATTTGTTTTTCATGCTGTTTTTTGGATGATAAAGTAATGGAATCCGTGATGGATAGATTATAGATGAATGAATGCTATAGATAGCTATAGATAGATGATTCAAAACAAACAAAAACCACCACAACAACAATATCGACAATGTATACGGGAAAATGGAAACATGACTAGGGAAAGAAAATGGATGAAAAAGAAAATAGAATTCAAGCCCGCTGGGCGTTGAAGAAAATTCAATCAATTAATTTTGGAACCATCATTGCTGTTCATTGTGGTAATTTATGTTATGGCTACCTCCTTTTCTTTCTGTATTTGGTTCATACAACATATGGTTTGGCCCATTGTAATCGAATGATGAACACGGTTTTTATTTATTTTGGTCAAATTTTTTTTTCCTACTTCCTCTGGTTAGAATTCACTAATGAGATCATCGATTTGGATTGAGGGCTTATCTTTCTCGCATATGATGGATCAATCCATTCATTTTATCAGGATTTAAATGAAAAAATTATTCGTAGGACGAGTTGAAATGCGATTCATTTCGTTGTCATCATTAAATTATTATGATAATATACGAATATGCAAAAAAAAAGATTGGATTAATTTCATTATGCAAATGTAACAGAAATATTAAAATAAGAGAAACGATGATGATGAGGATAATCCTCTTGATGATGATGATGATGAGAAAATCAAAAACGACAGCAACAATGTTTCTTAATATGATGATGATGATGATTACTAGCTATGTAATCAAAATCAATGGATTTTTGTGTGTGTGTGTGAGTGTGTGTGTAATAAAAATTTCTTTGATTTCTAACTTGAAGATATGCAATAAATACAGGAAACGAATTTGATGAAATTTTCAACATTTAAACTGGCCAAAGTTGAAAGCAATTTAATATTTGATGATGATGAAATCAAAAGATCAAAAGTGGATGATTCATTAATTGAAGTGAAAATTCTTACCAATTGACCACACAGTGTATTAGAGTGTGGCAAAAATCTTATTAGAGAAAAACCAGAAAAAAAAATCATCGTTGATCTTATGAGATTATGTAGGCTTATATATATATCATACAATATCTCCACACACACGTACACTAGATATAAAATAAAAGTTTTGATTATTGCATTTTTCCACCACCACCACCACCACCATCATCATCATCATTGATGACATAAACCGAATGATTTAATTTTCATTTGTCTATGCGTGTGTATATGTTAATAGGGCGAGGTTGGAATTATGTTTACAACCAGAAAACAGAAAACAGAAAAACATTCAATTTTCGGCCATTTATGATCATCATGAAAATGAATGACCAAGAAAAAAAAAGCCATAAGTCATTTTTTATATAAATGAATGAAGTGGTTTTTGTTCAAGAAGGTATGTATATCTTTTTTTTGTGAATAAAAATCCATCACAATTTTTTTTTCATCCATTCATTCCTTAGAATGAATGAATTATTATCCCTTGTTTGTTTGCGAAAAAAAAACATACCATGTTCATATTTCTTTACCGATGGTGAACGCACAACAGGAGCTGGTTCCGGTTCAGCAAATATGTTTGATTTCATACGATCAACAACACGTCGTCTTGGCGATTCCAAACCTTCTGGTTGACCAAACAAACGATTTTTAGTATCCTGTAATGATCCACGTCTTGATGAAGTTGTTGATGATGGTGTTGAACTTGTATCGGATTCATAGCCAAATTGTGATCCATTACCATTACCATTATGTATTGGTGTTGATGGACATGATAATACTGAACCATCTACTGATTCAGTTTCACTGATTGAACCATTACCATTTGCTTTACCATTACCATTCATTGGTTGTGGATTATCGCTTGAATGGCCAAAAATATTGTGTGCACCACCGCCAGGTGCTTTAATGATTCTATACAATAATAACAATAAATAAACAAATAAATAAATATAAATTAAAAACAATCAATTAAGATTAACATCGATAAAACAAACAAAAAAAAAATGCGGAAATTAAAAAGTGGTGAAAAAAAAATCAAAATCATAAGATGAACATTTCCGGTTGTAATCAACGAAAACAGCTATCAAAATCATATGATGATATGGACACTTTGATAACATTTTCAAGTGAGTGTTAAAATAATTTTTTTTCCTTGCTCTTCATCATCATCATGATTATTATTACAACCGGCATTGCTTAGTTATTTTTATGTGAAAATTTAACGAATTGATAAAAACTAGAACTAGAACTAGAACTAGGCTATCTGTTATTAGTGAAGGAGAAATACGAAAAAAAAAAAAACAAGCTAAACAGCATATGGTTTAACGGTACGATTAATTGCATTGATAATATGACATTTTAGACAATAATTACCAGGTTTCTCTCCATCATCATCATCATCATCATTCTAATCAAGCAAGTAAAATATTATTATGAACGGAAAAAAAAGGAAAAACAGAAACAACGTTAATGATCATCATGATCATCATTATCATTGATGATGAAAGAAAGATCCAGATTGGGAAAATTTATGGAAAACTGCAAACCACTGAAATAAAAAAAAAACATCTGGAATCGATCAACAATTATACAACATATATACAAAAAAAAACATATCTCACGAAAACAAAATTAACGTACACAGCAGCAGCAAAACAACATTATATCATCGAGCAGGTATCATCAATATAATCGTCGATGTTAATTGTGTCACATAGAATACAGAACAACAACATTTCGAAATGTCTGATGTTTTAATCAAGATATGAGGTTTTCAACAACTCTTTTTTTTCCATATGATGAACACGATTTAATTTTCATTCAATCACGAATTTGAATGTATTTTTTTCACTATACTTCAAAAAAAAAGAAGAAAATGTGATGATTTTGATAAACATCATCATTTACAGTTATTGATTTCAATCTATTTTTAGGGCCAAACAAATAAATTTTTTCAATTGGATGGATCTTTTTTTGAGTATTCAAACACAAGATGTGCACTTAGCACAGATATGAGAATAAAAATAAGATTATTTCGACAGTTAATACGAAATAAATTGATAATCGATTATGATCATCATCATCATCGATTTTTACGAAATAATAAAGAATCACTAATGATCAAGGTCAATCAATGATGAAAAAGATTCTCAAGAAATGCCGCAAAAAAACGACAACAACAACAACAACAACAACCAGAAAAGCAAAATGGAAGCAACAAAGAAAAAATGAACGTTATGGATTTTTTTTTGTTTTTGTTTCTTCCATGGAGCCATAAAATGAGCATTATCATTCATATGTCGAGGTCATGATTTTGTTTTATTTTTTTTTTTTTTAAAGAGGCCATTACAATATTATGGCCAGAATAATAATAATATAATGGTGAGAACCGACAAGAGTTTTTCATCATCATGATAATAATATGCTGATCGAGCAATATGAATTATATTGAGGTATGGAAAAAAATGAGAAAGAGAAAGAGAAAATCAATCAATACAAACAATAACAACAGCAACAACAACAAAAAAAAACAAAAATTTGTGATGACTTTTCATAATTTCGATTCTTTTCATTCTATTGTTGATTATCATTTTTCAATATATGTGAAACATGACCGTATATTCGAATGAAGAGAGGAGAGAGAATCGTAACATGAATCAGCAATTGATTGATTGATCGATCGATTGATTTGTTTTCATTGGGAGAAAAAAAATAACTATTGGAGAAAGCAATCAAACATCTGCAAAAAAATTTTTTCCCTAATAATGATCTACAACAACAACAACAACAACGACGACGACGACGACCAAGAATGATATCAAGATCAGTACAAACAAATGGAATAAAAATCATAAAAATAAAATTACCATCATCATCATCATCATAATGAATCAACTTGAATGAAATGGGCAAAAGAAAACAATGGTTAAACAAAATCGAGAATAGAATGGAAAAAAAAAACAAAAAATTCAATCAAACGATTCATTCAGGCGCACAAAAACAATCAATGAAATGGAATTGGAATGGGAAAAAAAAATTAATTACAGAACCATCATCACCATTGGCATCATCATCATCATTTGAATGTCTGGATGAAAAAAATTTCCACTGATGATGATGATGATGATGACAGTAAAATTTCGAAATATTGAAATTGATAACTATCAATGGAAACAGAAAAGAAAAATATAATTTTACCGAAAAAAAAAATCATTGATAATCCGTTGAAATGAGCATCCATTTTTTTTCCATTTTCCATTCGGTGCATTGCACACACACACACACACACAATCGGTACATGTCAGTCTAAACATCGTTCTAGATTTTTTTTTTTTTTTTTTTTTTGCTCAATTTGAATCAAATTACATTCGGAAACGAAGACAAAAAAAAAAGAATAGACAAGCTTCATAGCAGACAGAAGGATAATTCGTTTGTACAAACACAAACATGCGAACACACACTGAAAAAAGATGATTCGCTTATTTCATCTTTTCGGTCGATTGATTTCAACATTAAAAATGGTAGTATTGGGTATACACATCCCCTTTCTTTTCGCCCCTCTTTTTTTTCACAATTCACATAACATTTTGACGTTATCATCATCATCATCATCATCATGATTCGATTGTGATTGGTGAAATATGGATGATTGTATTCTTATTATGGCAATGACCAAAAAAAAAAATAATAAGAACAAGAAAACTATTAGTAGTAGTAGGTTGGTAGTAGGCAGGTAGCTTGTCGGACAAGATATTTACATTGCCATACATATGACAATTTGGTTTTTTTTTTGATTGTGAATAATGATGGTGGTGGTCATTGAATAAGAAAAATGATTTTCTATGAATCAATGCATGTATGGCTAATAAATTTTTTTTCGTTGTTGTTGTTTGTTTGACATATCGATAAAACCTACAAATCAATAGAATGTGAGCATATCAAACAAATTTGTAACAAATCAAACCACTTGTTTTGTTTCGTTGTATCTTGAATAAGAATCCATATATGTGAATATGGAGGTCATAAAATGTTGAACAGAAAAAAAAATCTATTTGTCTACTAACCATAAAAATAAAATGTACGAATGGATTCACCGATTCTGTATGCAATGTGTGTGTATGTTTATGTGAGTCTCTTTTTATTTATATCTCTCAAGTTCTAACTAATGGATCGATTTTGGAACACAGTACAACGACATTTCGTATTCGTGTGTAAATGCAAGCATTCAAACACACCATATATTCGAGGGTCACCATTGTGTGTGAGTGAGAGAGAGAGAGAAAAAAACGAATGAGTCATCAACGAATCGGGATGGTAAATTTGGGTTTAGGACTCTTTTAGTGGTTCATTCATGCATTTGTGTTTGCGTATATCATTCACTCAAGGACTTTTTTTTGGATCCATCATGAATCAACAGCGACAACGGCAGACAACGAAAAAAAAACCAGGAGCCTTAAAACAAACCCAAGCGAAGGAAGGCGAAAACAGATTATCTAAGCAAATATATTGTGAAAGCATTAGTCAACAACAACAACAACAATTTTTCGAAATGATTTTTTTTACATTTCGCTCAATAAATTAGTGATTAGGATTTAATTTCCTATACACACCGTTAAGCATCATTTTTCGCGTAAAATTTTCTGCATCACACACACACGCACACACAAAAGAGAAAATTGACGCCCGTTTGAATGAAAATTGAATTGATGAATCTTGTAAAGAAGATAACCTAACTGCTGCTGCTGCTATGGCAAAAATGGAATGGTCTAATTCCATTTTATTATTTCATCATCATGATAACGTTATTCAATGTTGTTGGACAATAAATGCGAAAAAAAAATCTATTAAATAACTCAAATACAAGAGTCAAGAATGAATAAATGAATGAATGAATAAATAAATAAATAGTAAGAAACTGAATGGCAAAGAGTTATTGACATTGTGAATACCAAGAGGGGACACAATTGAATTTTGTTGTTTTTTTTCTGTTTTTTCATCATTGAATGGAAAAATGAACGAACGAGAGAGAGAGAGAGAGAATCCATTGTTTGTTTGTTTGTTTGTCATTGAATAGCAGAATATTTGAGCTTCGAGAGATTAAAAAAAAGCATCATTAATTTCAATTTAAACTGAAGAGAAAATTTTATAGTGATGACCAAACGAAGAAAGAATGAAATGAGAAAAATTCTTTCATTATAACAATCAAGAATGGCCTTTTTTATATATTGAAATAAACGAAAAAAGACAATTTATTTTGGAAATAACAACAATAAAAGAAAGGTGCCAATCGACATTATATTATCAACACCATTATCTTCAATTCTTCAATAGTGGAAAATTGATCTGACCCAAGATCAATGAATTGTTGATGTTGACAATGGAAACATCAAATCAACATTGACATCGACATTGGCTGAATAGCCGGCAAATTTCTTTACGCTATATATGCTCTTTTGTGAAACAATTTTAGATTGTGTGTGTGTGTGTGTGGAACATATAAATGAATCACTCGACAATCTATGATAGCCACTAAACATTAACACACACACACACACACACTCAGACACAACCAGAATAATGATTTAAATGACTCATATCAACACAAAACAAAACAAAACTACTAAGGGCCTGAGTTGAATGGCCTAGCTATTCAATTTCTGGTATATATTTTTAAATAACAGACGACTATAATGTTTTTCAGTTCCAGTAAATGGAACAAAAAAAATAGGTATGTCCATGCTAACAGAAAAAAAGAGCTTATGGAAACACACACACATGGAGGACAAAAAAGTAAAAAAAAATCAATAAGTCAATGAGTCACAACTAGATTCTGGATTTTTTTTTTTTTTTTTTTTTTTTTGATTGTAGAGAATACCGAAAAAATAAAAAAAACGAGTTAAATTGCTGATAATAATAATTCAGTGGAAAAAAACAATCAGTGAAACGTAAAATCTGGCAGAAAAAAACATTTTCAGTAAATTGTATCATTTTTTTTTGGTTCCATGTTCATTAGAAATGTTTCAGGAAAAGAATTTTACGAAATGTTTCCTTCCGGTATGAGGAGAAAAGTATGGAAATGTTGTTTTACCATAGCAACATAAATTAAATTACACACACACACACACACACATATATTCTAGTAATAAATTATCAAATCACCATTTTTGGATTGAATAAGTGTGATGGAAAAAAGGAAGTAATTGTTAACAAAAGATTCAGTACAAGAATCACTGAAATCATCATCATCATGTCATTATAAATATAGAATGAATTAATGTGGGCAAAAATAATTTTCAAGTTTAACACAATGTTGCGAACATTTTTTTTTTTTTTTTTGCAAACAAGAATTGTTTCTGTAAATGGGAATGGGCTGGTTTTTGGTGATTTTATGATTTTGTTTTGATTAAGGCATGAAAAAAAGCTGTTATTGTTGTTGTTGTTGTTGTTACATATGTTTTTCCTTCCATGACCACAATCATCATCATTATTATTATCATCATCAACAACAACAACTTGGGAAGTTGTAGTTGAATTTGGTTTTTAGTTCAATGATGGTAACAACAATTATTATCGAATGAGTTGTGTGTGTGTGTGAGCAAGAAAAATCATCTGTAAAACTGTTTGATTATGGATGGCAAAAATATTTACAAATGTTAATGAAGATAGAGAGAGAGAGAGAGAGGTCATTTAAATGTCATCGCATTCATTAAATTTTTTTTTTTGCTTAATGCTTAGCCCTTCATCATCATGAGATGAGATGGGAAAACCAAGAAAAGAGAAGTAAAAAAAATGCAAATAACCAGAAATATAAAGATATTAATACCGGAATTCCGACAAATGACAAGTTGAAAATATTCGTTTGTATTTTGTTTTTTTTCTGGCGAAAAAAAACAACTGCTAATTATAACCGATTAAATGCAAAGATTTAATCCTTTTTTATATATTTCATAATTCGTTTGAATTTTTTTTTTTCGTTTTGCTACTTGTTCAACCGGCTTTTCAATGAAAAAAAAAATTTTTTTCATTCACAATTCAAGCAATTATCAGTTTGTCATTATGGTAAGAAACAAAGAAAAATTAACCATTCCACATACTCATATTCACATTTCTGCCATTTCGAAAATGGTTAAATCAACCAACCAATGAAACACACAAGACAATTGAATGAACCTTAATGAAGTTCAAGGGCTAGTGTAATTTTTTTTTGTTGTTCTTGGTTTTTGGTTTGATACAATCATCATCATCATCATCATTGAAATCGTGTGCGAACACAATCATCATCATTATCATCATTATAATCATCTTCAAGCTAATCATAACCTCAATGATGATCTAAAATTAAATTATCATCAACAACATATATGGTTAAAGATTATGGAGATTTTTTTTTTTTGTTACAAAAATTACATGAAAAGCAAATTGAAACTTGATCCAAAGGACAGAAAATTTAGAAAATCAAGAATTTATCAACCAGAAAAAAATGCTCATAATAGATAAAAATAGTGATAACAGGAAAACACACACACACCGTGAAACAAACCTTTTTCCTCGACCAACTTTATCGAGTTCAACATGTCGAAAATCGTAAATGGATGGCATTTTGATTTTTTTTTCGTTGCTTGTTTATTTGTTTATTATAAGATGATTTAAGATGTATGGATATGAGGAATTTATCGATAATAAAAAAAACCAATTGTCGAATATAAATGTTGTGGAATTTGGCGATCGACCGTTTCAATTGGTTAAGGTATTATTAACAAGTGGCAATTGAATACAACAAAAAAAAAATTTTTCTTCAGTGAGAAAAAAATCAAAATATTTGATGATGATATGATGAACACTCGAATCAAAAGAAAAAAAATCACATGCACAGATATTCAAACAAACAAACAAACAAACACACACACAGAGAGAGAGACAAACAAACAAACGGAAAAAAACGATTCAATACACGAATAACGGAAATTTTTTTATTTTATTTTCGAAATTGATAATTTGGCTGATAAAACAAAAACAACAACGACAACAACAACAAATGATGATGACCAATCAATTGAAGAGGAAAAATAAAGATTTTTGTTTTTGTTTTTGTTTTTTTTGTCAGAGAGATCTTGGACAGTGGGGAAGAAAAAATTTAGATGTAGATAATAATAATAAAATATATATTGATGATTGATGATGATCGAAAAGAAAACACACTGTTTATTTATTGGATGAAAAACCGGCAAACAAGTTTAAAAAAGAAGATTATCCTATGAATGAGATGATTGAAGTAAACCGAAACGAACCGAACCGAAGTGAACCGTATGAGAATCAACAATGAAATGGAACTATACAAATAATCATCATATTCAATTTATATATCAAGGCGTCTGGTTTTGCTTCTTTCTTTCTTTATTTTATTTTTTTGGTGTGGTTGTTTTTTTTTCGGGTCTCTCATCATCATCATCATCATCGTCATCGTCATATATACAACAAACATGAATCTCTCTTTTACACATTGTGAAATGCTTCACATCTCTCTCTTTCACTCACTCCATCTCTCTGTCGTTTCTGTTTCTGTTTCACTACTATCACATCCGATATGTGTATACCGAAACAAAACAACAACAACAAAAAAAAATTCAGCTAGCGGTATACCAGAGATCGAAACAAGTATGAACGATGAAAAAAAAAATTAAATGAATGAAACAACATTGTGCACAAATACTGGAAAACTATGAAATGCAAATGGCAAAAAAAAAGAGACTAGGCGTTATTGTACCATCATCATCATCATCATCACACACAGACAGCCAAAAACATTGATCGGATAGTGAACCAAACATACATACATACATACATACACATGGATGAATGAATGAGAACTAAACATAGTCTGCATGTGTATACATTAAAACAACAACATATCAAAACTAGCAGTACGTCGCTCCCAAATTGAGAAGAATCTTCATATGTTTTGTGCATGTATGTTTTATCTACAGGCAATCATCATATCATATCATATCAGGCTTTAAAATTTAAAATAAACGAATTGATGTATAACAAGAAAAAAAATCAAGAATATCACAGAATATTAACATCGGTGTTTCAAAAAAAAAAAAAAAAAAAAATCAACAATCCACGTAAATTGATATCAAAAAGGAATATAGAAAATAGAAAAAAAAATTCTTGGGCGCCACAAAACTCATTAATGTGAACAAAGACATTTGCATTATTATTGAAAATTACAATTAAAAAAAAAATAAATAAAAACCAAGAAATTTGAAACCACAAAATTCAATAAAGAGAGATTCTTGATAGAATCTTTCATCTCATGCACAGAGAATCATCATATTCTCTTTTTATTTTATGATGAAGGGTGTAATTTGAAACTCACAATAATAATAATCATCGTTATTATTATTATGGCTAATTTATTAAGAGATAAATTCATTTTATTATTAGTTTGTTTCTTGTTGTTGTTGTTGTTGTTCCATTCATTCATTTGAATATTCACATTTTTAATCATAGAGATAAAGCCATACAAAAAATTACACAAACAGATACACTGTGATTCAATATAGAATAATATAGTATAGAACACACAAAACTAATGGGATTCCAATTAAGTGTCCAATTGAATATGGCTATTCCACGCCCTATTTGGGATAATAATAATTTTTTTTTTTTTTTTTGGTTTTGCCGTATAATCGGAAACCATATGTATACACACAAACAAACAAACAAACAAATGAACTAATGTAGACCACACAATGAATGTTTCGTGCGTGTAATTTTTTTTTCTCTGGATCTCAGGGATACCATTCAATGCACACACACACAAAAACACATTGTAATTATTGAATTAGACAAAAGAATCATCTGTTTTTGGGTTCGTGTTTGGGCCTGGTTGGTTGGTTGGTCAACATTATCAATAACAATAGGAACCAATTTTCTGAGGTCAACAACAACAACGACAATGATAATAACCACAACAGCAGCAGCAGCAGGGAATCGATCGAAAAAAATGTGTGTGTGTGTGTGTGTGTGTGTGTGTGTTTCTAAGCAGAGAAAAGTTTTTCTGGTTCAAATTTTCATTCAAAAATTGTTGAGTGTATAGCGCGAACACACATCATACAAAGAAAGTTGATATAAACACTGTGGGATATAGAGAAAATTCTACAAACACACATTGCATTTAAAAACCAGGATTCAGTATACTATGGAGACATATATGTATGGACATCAAACAGAATTCATAGAAAAAAAAAGAGAGCGAGAGAGAGAGACAAATAAACAAATCCCAATACAGAAACAAAACAAAAAATTCGACAATTCAACAGTGAGCCATCTCTTTTTTTTCATTTTGTTGCTGTTGATAAGTCAGAAAAAAACCAAAATCGATTCTTTCGGATATGAACCATCTGGTTATTGATCTGAACAATTTTTTTTTTTGTTTGAAAAAATTTTAGAGTAAAGTAAATGAAAATGTTTAGTTTTTTTCTGTGCGGGAAAAAATAAGAGGGAATAGAATTCTGAATGAAATATTCGTGTGTTGGTTGGAAATATGAATCTCAAATTACCAATTAATTTATATATCAAAATTTTGCAACGATTCATTGTTAGTTACATATATTAGCCTCTAGGGAAATAATTGTTAGGTTTTATTCTATTCTGACTATTAGGTTTTATTCTATTCTGGCTATTATGTGCGACACGAACAATATAGCACTGTGCTAGCAGGGATTATCATCATTTTTTTATTCACCATTTTTCCTCACTGTATATATCAACAAACAAACCAATGTCATGATTCGATGAACTTATGAATAATTTTTCAATTCAATTTTGGCTGAGATAATTATTACTGTAAATGGACACAAAATGAAATAAAATACCAAACACAAGAGATGACCGGTATGAATGAATTCAATGATTTTTTTTCGATAATGAAAAAAGAAAAAAATCTTTTTATCGATATTCGTTGAGAAAAAAATGATAAAACCTGACTCACGATCGATGATGGTGTCTAGGACCTTGATTTTCAGGTGAATGGGTGCCGTATAATGAATGAAAAGAAAAAAAACAAAACCAAAAAAAAAACGTTGTCCCCATTTTTTTTTCTGGACTAGCATCACCAATGTACTGTCCTAACACCAATTTTTTTTTCACTGATTTGTTCCACTAATTATCCGATGAATGAAACATTTTTAAACATATTCACATTATCATCGCGATCATGACCAAACCATTGGATCGGTCAAATTTATCTATATGAATGTATGTCATAATTAACTAACTAAAAAAATGATGATGATGTGAAGTATGTAGTAATATGTTTGACCTAATCCATAATTAAACATCGATATTGGAGTGTGAATAATAATCATCATCATCATTTTTATTTATTTTCAAAAGCACCCTTCGTATCATTATCATCATGAACATTGAAAATTGCAATCATTTCAAGTTTTTATATAAGAGTCTTGACTTGAATATAATATAAAACTAACTAATGTAATAATAATCACATGGTGAACACAAAATTGTACAACAAATAAAACGGTAAAAAAAATTGAGTTATTCATGAGTTGGAAAACATTATTTTTTATCGACTCATTTCAAACGATAGACCTGATCGTGATTTGATTGAATAACGGTATTGCCTTGAAGCATCATGTATTATTGAAATGGCAAAGAATTTACTTGAAACTTGACCAAACAACAAAATTTCAATCCGTTATCGTTTGCAATAACTGCATCTATTGATTTCATCTTCCATTCGCGAAGGTATTTGATCACAGAAAAAAAAACAATAAAAAAAAGATTTAAAGAAAACGGAAATAATTAGCCATTGTTGTTCAGAAGTTTTTTTTTCTCAGGTTTTTCTTAAATTTAATGATGATAATAAAATCATTTGATTGAAAGAATGAATGACTGAATGAATGAACGATTCTTCATGACATTTTTTTTTCTCATGATTGAATGAGATGGATGTGTCAACTATCCTAGTATATAAGTAAAATGGATCCCTGTTGGTTCTGGGCCATTAAATCCAACAAGATCATATAGCGTATTTTTATAATTATGAATTAATTCTTGATTGATGATGTAATAAAACCAAAATATATTACGGTGATTATCATTATGGTTCGATGGATATGAACAAAAGATTCAATTATTGTTTATCAACCAGAGAAAAAATATATACATCGATTTCAATCATGATTTGTTGTTGAAATGCATATTTTTCGTTTTCGTTTTAAAACAAAATTTTTTTTTGAACAAATTCATTTCAAGCAATTGTTTTTTGATTATTTGATTATTATCATTATATAAATATAATGGTCAACTTTAACAACAACAACAACAACAACAGGTCAATGAAATAATGCGTGTGTGTGTGTGTGTTTCCAATGAAAAAATTCATACACAACAACAACAACAACAAATCAAATCAAATCATCAATCAATCAATCAATCAAAAAAAAATAAAGGTATTGGTATATATCTCTCTTAAGGGGGTTGTCAATCAAATCATGTCATTTTCTACTATGGTTCCATCATGACAACCGGTCAAAATTTCGTGATTCACAAACTTAATTCAAACATAAATAATGATGATGATGATGATGATGATAATGTTTATATCTTTAAAAATCATTTCATTTTTTGTCTGTTTGTTTGTTTGAATTGATAAGAACGAATGAATGATTAAATAAGACAAACAAACAAACAAACAAATCATACAAACATAGACATTGCTTTTTTCTCTCTATCTTTTTTTTGCCTTTAGTTTGTGATTTTTACATCAAATAAAAATGAATGAAATGAACAAGATTATGGATAAAGATAA